CTGTATTTCCACCTCGAGAAGTTTGTAAATTTACTTTTTGAAGAATCCCACGCAGTTACTTCCTTTGAATCTGCTGCATTCACTATGCAGATGAGAAGGAACTTCTGTGTCACACATTTCACAGAGCTTGCCCTCTGAACTACAGAGGTGCTGAGAGGAGGAGTTTCAAGAGGCAGAGTCAGCACAGGAATCACTGCTTGCAGGCAGCAGGGTACCATGGGATCAGGGCTATGAAGTGTGGGGGGGGAGGGGTGCAGAAGGCACAGCTGCCCTAGGCAGGTGGGGGGAAAGTTCCTGTTGCTACAGGCTGACAGGAATAGTGACAGTAGCATCACTACTACTTTCAGCTTAGAGCGGAAGGTGGCATGTGGAATCAAAAGAGCAGCAGCAGAAGAGAGCTGGGAGGAGGTGCATGCTGTGCTCTCTATCCCCCCCAGCTCTTCCTCCTGCCACTGCAGTGCTCCTGCATGGAGATTTGTGCGGGGTTCCTTACCTGCCCCCATCAGAGACTTGTGCTGGGAGGGGGGATTTCAGTGGGGGAATTTGTACTACTGGGAGGAGGGGGATTTTTTTTCTAGGAGAATTTTTGCTTATAGGGAGAATATATGCTTAGGGGATTAGCTTGCAGATTAATGCTTGATTTTTTTTCGGGGGGAGTTTGCTGACATAAAATGTTTCTGGATCTTTGTGGGGGCTACAGTTTTGCATCTTTGCTCTGGGCCCTTGGTGATCTTGTCCCAGCACTGCATGGGATATGTAATCCTTAGAAATGGAGCGTAAACAGCAGAGGAGAAGCTGCAAAACATGCAGGGAATCCAGGAAGTTGTGGAAAGATATGATCTAACTATATGAAAGAAGATTTTTTCTCTAAGTGTGCTTATATTGTATTGTCAAATATAACTATTGTTTGTATTGCTAATATAATGCTGATATTGTAAAATGATGGTTTATGCTGTTATCGCAGGTCTCCTTTATACCTATCAATTACTTTTTTATCAGTTATAATTTTTGCCTCTTTGGAAATCTTTGTCAATATTGCTAATCCTAACAACAAACTTCTATTTGCTACTTTTTGGACCCAAAAAATATACTATTAAAATCATTTTGTTTTATCTGTCTCACAAGTGCAAAATCCATTGATCCTGTCAGAATTTTAAAACTGTCCTGTGTGCTGTTCAGTTTAATCAGACTTCTAAATTCTTATTTTTATTACAAAACCACTCCCTTCTTTCTTGTGGAGCTGAGGAGAGAGAGAGGCACTCTAAAATAGAAAAAAATGACTGGACAGGCCGGACAACATTTCTTGAAATTTCAGTCCAGCAAGAAAACCATGTTGTCAGTCGAGAACCAGAAAGTAGGAGTCAAGACAAACACGATGGCTAATTTCACACTGATCTGTGCCACAAATGCAGCAAAAACACGTGTTTTACTACATTTGTGGTGCTTTATTTATTTATTTTTTTACAGGACATGTGACTCAAAAAGCACACCATAAATGCATCACAAGTGTGTTTTTGATGTGGTTTCCATTAATTTCAATGGGCAGGTGCAATAATATTTTTTGATTAAATAACATTTCAAATCATATTAGGTTAATCACAAAAGCTCCCCCTTACATCAAAGTCCACAGAGTTCCGCCTTTACATCTTAATATGGAGAGTTCCTCCTTTACATCTGAATCTGCTGATCTCCCCTTTACATCTGAATCCGCAGAGTTTTCCCTTTACATATGAATCCACAGAGATTCCCCTTATATCTGAATTCGCAAAGTTCCCCTTTACATCTGATCGGAAAGGTCCCCTTTACATCTGAATCCACAGAGTTCCCCCTTTACATCAGAGTCTGCAGAGTTTCCCCTTTAAATCTGAATCTGCAGAGTTCCCCTTTACATCTTAATCTGCAGAGTTCCCTTACACTGTAAGAAGTGACTCTGCAGATCCTAATGCAAGGGAAAACTTTGGGACTCTGATGTAAGGGGGCACACCACAGACTACGGTGTAAAGGAAAACCCTGATGTATGGGGAGCTTTGGAAACTGGAGCCCCCACTTACACTACAGTTCCCAGCATTCCCCTTTAATCTAGGTTCCCCCCTTACATTAGAGTCTACAGAGTTTCCCCTTACCCAAGAGTCTGCAGAACACCCCTTACATCTGAGTCCCCCTTACATTAGTGTGCTGATTCAGAGGCAGGAGGGGAAGTGGGAGACTTCAGTCACAGACAGAGGATGGTGACTCAGCCACTGGTATCTTTCTTCAATCATGTAATTACCTGTTGCTGCGCTTCAAAATTCCAGCCCACACATCCCCTTTCTGAGGCACATCACTGCTGAGATTGGAGTGTGGGTGAGCAGATACAGGAGGAGAGGGGTAGGAGGAGCAGCAGATCCAGCACTCTCTCCTCTCCTGTCTGTGCAGGGGAGGAGGGGGGAACTGTTCTGGGTCTGGCCAGTGTGAGAGAATGCAACAGACACTCTCAGCTTACAGCCATTAACCTAGCTGAGGAACCACAATCGGGGTGGAGTCATGTGTATAGGTCTCAGGAGGTTTGAAACCTGGGCAAATGATTCAAATCCTGGACAGGCAGCAACCCTACTTGATATTCAAAAGTAGGGGTCATGCTTCTGCTTCTGTCATTCTACAACATTCTAATAGAATTATTTTTGACTGACCCAATATTTAGCAGTAACACACTGTTTGCAGCACAGCTAAATGAGTCCTAAGTGGAGTGTATATATCATATTTATGGATCATTCTCCAAGTGACCAAATCATAGGTATCTTTGGCATGGGAATGCCTGTTATGATTCCTTAGCTACCCGTTTTCCTGTAGCTATGAGTAGGTTGTCGGTACCAGGGGCGGACTGACCATTTGGAAACTCGGGCACTGCCCGAGGGCCTGGGTCAGTAGGGGGCCCCATAAGATGCCCCTGGTACCTTTTTCATAGGCTTTTTTGAGTTTGGGTAAGGACACAGGGGCCCCATGATCCCCTATTGCCCGGGGGCCCCATGAGTTGTCAGTCCGCCCCTGGTCGGTAACACTCACAGTTACTTACCAGATTCAGGTTTTTGTTCAAACTGGAAGAAGCAAGGCAACACAGACCATTTTTATGAAAGACATATTAATGAACGTGGCCAGCCCAGTGCACATCACTGATTATAGTTTTAGCAGCTCAGTTACAGTCCATAGTTTTCGCAGCCCACAACTCAACTGTATACATAGTTTGAAATAGACAAATTGATGAAGGGGTCTGTGTGAAATAGTAATTCCAGTCTTAAAGTTTAAAAGGACCTGCTGCATTTTAGAATAGAAACCTTTTCAGTGAAAATCTCCTTCAGTTACCTTGTAACCATTGTCACTTAGAGGAAACCTGTCATTTAAGAAGTACATAAGATGCCATTTACGACTTCCAAAGAAAGCAAGTTGATTGGGTGTCACATTTATTCTTTGCCTGCCCTCTCTCTCCCCAGACTGATGCCCTGGTGCATGATACACATGAATGGAGACAGTAGTCAATGCTTATTTCAACACACTTCAGTGCACAAATTATCTTAAAAGGTAACTCCACTTTTGTTGAAAAAAATACACTCTCCTCTGGGTTATCAATGTACATTGCCTGGATTTTTAACAGACTTTGCAGCAGATTCCTACCCGTTTCTGCTCTAAAGAAAAAGCTGCATGTTTGATTGATGTACAGAGTGAAATAGAATGGGAGTGAGTTTTTCATTATCAATCATCTGATGCACTTACAGTGTTCTAATGAAAAGAGTGGCAGGGTCTGCATCCCTTTAGAAGTAACTAACCCCTTAGGAGTATCTTGACACAAATGAATGCCCAAAAGCTAACTTGTGTCTTAATGCACACCTCTGGGGAAAATCAGTGAGCTGAATCACACAAGCAGGAAGTGACCTTTCTTGGGAAGTTCTGTACACCAAACATAATGCACATGAGAAAGATGTGCTCTGAACCCCTATTTCTGGCACCTGCATACATGTCTGAAGGAAACCAGGCACTGCTCATCACCTGCCCAATGCCATCCCAACAGTGAAGCATGATGGTGGCAGCATCATGCTGTGGGGGTGTTATTCAGCAACAGGGACTGGGAAACTGGTCAGGGATGAGGGAAAGTGGAATTGAACAAAGTACAGTGATATACTCAATGAAAAACTGTTCCACAGTACTCAAGACCTTAGACTGGATTGAACCTTCCAACGTGACAACAATCCTAGAGCACACAGCCAACACAGAAGTGGCTTAGGGACAATGCTGTGAATGTCCTAGAGTGGCCAAGCCACAGCCCTGAAAATGGCTGTCCACCAAAGGTGGAAAACATGAATGACCTGAATGACTGTTCAACCTGAATGAGCTTGAGAGGATTTGCAAAGAAGAATGGCAAAAAAATCCCCCAATCCAGGTGTGCAAAGCTTGTTGGGTCATACCCTAAAAGACTTTAGGCTGTAATTGCTGCCAAAAGGTACTTCAACAAAGTACAAGGTAAAGTAGAGAGTAAAGAGTCAGAATACTTAAGTACATGTGATATTTCAGTTTTTTCTTTTTTATTAATTTCAGACATTTCTAAAATTCTGTGTTCACTTTGTCATTATGGGGTACTGCTGGGTGTAGATTCATGAGAAAAAATAAAATGAATTTAACCACATGCCTTCTGGGCACATTTACAACATTTACAACCCAGGCCAATTTTCAGCTTTCAGTTGCACTTTGGGTACAGTATTGCATGACCAAGCAATTGTCATTCAAATTACCTTTCTATCCTTTTTTTCCACACAAAGCAGAGCTTTATTTGGTGTATTTAATCACCACTGGGTGTTTTATTTGTTGCCAAAAAAAGGAAAAAAGACCGAAAATGAAATAAAAAACAAAACTTTTTTTCTTAGTTTCTATTATAAAATTTTGCAAACAGGTAATTTTTCTCCATCACTGATGTGTGTTGATAAGGCTGCACTGATGGGCACTGATAGCCTGCACTGATGAGGTGGCACTGGTGGGCATTGATGAGGAGGTACTGATGAGGCTGCACTGATATGCGGCACTGATGGGAACTGATAGGCAGCAATGATGGGCACTGATGGGCACTATGAGGCAGCACTGACTGGTAGCACTGCTGGGCACAGATGGGAAATTTTGGTGCTGCACTAATAATCAGGGCACCGATAATCAATGCCCTGATTATCAGCGTAGATGTCACCTTTCAGACTTGCCAATTATTGGCAGTACTTTCCTCACGCTGTGACAGCGTGAGGAAAGTACTGACTATAACCGGCAAGTGTATTTATATGGTGATCAGCTGTGATTGGATTCAGCTGATCACATGGTAAAAGGCTGCTGTGATTGGCCCTTTACCGTGTCATGTGATCAGCTGTGTCCAAAGGGCACAGTGATCACAAAGAGCATCGGGTACACACAGCTGGGGGAACGTGGGGGGCGCTGTTCTTGGAGGCATCATATGATGCCCTCCCAGAACTAGATGACCACACTGCAGCCGTCATTCAGCTATAACGCAGTCAGGAAGAGGTTCAACAACTGTAGTATTAAGCTGGAGCATAACAAAATTGAAAAAAGTGAAGGGGGTCTTAATACTTTATGAATGCACTGTATATATCCTTTAATATATATATATATATATATATATATATATATATAAAAAAAGAAGTAATTTGTAATTGCCCAGCACGTTTACAAGGAAACTTTTGGGAGAAATGTTTGCTGAGATATATATATACTTATTTAGCAGCCTTTTCCTTCAGAAAATGCTGGTTGCTTGGCTGTTGTGTTAACACACTGATTTAAATGACCTGGAACATACATATCAAGTAAGCAAGATTGAATTCAAAAGTCTATATCAAAACACTTCTTTGTTAGAGACTAATCATTAAACTGAGAGTCAGCGTGAAAGCCAAGGAGCTAATGAGAAGTCAGTAATTGCAGCCTCTCTCAGGGAAGGTTTCCCTTAAAGCTGCAAACTCTGGTTTAAAAAAAAAAAAAATCTATTCAAGTACATATTCTTAACTCAAAGTACCGTCTATTGCTTTCAACTTTCTTCAAATTTCCAAATCCTTTTTTGTTGCTGTGACCTGACTTCCTATTAGAGGGTGGATATGTTCATTCTGCATGGTCCCACTGTATGTAGGAATGTAGTCACCCTCACTCCCACGATGGACTAGGAATCATGGACTATGGAACATGAGATTTGTAGTGTCCGGAGAACAGGACACATGACTGCAAGTGACATGTACTACTCGTTCCAAACAATCAGAAGTGGGAAGAAAAAAAGAGAGGTTTTGGAGCTTACTGAGGACGTTACAAGAAGACAGAAAAACAAAAAAAAAGGATTTAATGAAAAACGTGCATGTGCACGAAACGCGCCAGGAGGAGCCTAAGTGCCGAGGCCCTGCATGGTCCTGTGGCCATTCATGCAAGTTCAGATGCTTAGTCTTTTCTGTACTCCACGTGGATTTTATTGCTATTTGAATAAAATACTACACTATGTACGTTTCCTTGAGCTCCATGTGTGAGCTTTTGTATGAAGGTGCATCTTGGTTACTTCTGTTGGAGTCCGCTATGAGGAAGGAGTGAATGAGGCTATCACAGATCTTAATATCACTTTGGGCGTATGCTTGCCAAATTTCTGGTGAGTGCATAGGGATGAAGGTTCCATGGAAGAGGTGTCATCACTGGATTGTCACTGATTTTCATGTTCAACAGCCAATGGACTTTTTTATTAGTCACTTTGCAATTTTCACTTTTTGGTGCTTATTGATGTATAGTACTACTATTACCATTGTATACCTCATGGTTCATAATTTTATTATGTGGTTCACTTGTATTTTTTGATTGAGAATTGCTATATACAATTTACATGTAACATTTTTAGCGCTGTACATTTTGCTGTTTATGTAAAATGTATTACAGGGAATATTTTTGGAGAAAAAAAAAAAAAAGACACTTTACTACTTTTACCATTTAAAAACAACCAAAACTGCTACTTTAGTGGGTAAGAAAAAGGTTAAAGATGATCTTCCATGTTAGATCTTTGTACCTTGTCTCCTTGTATGTTGCTTTGGGGTTTCTCTGCGATTCCATCTGGAACTCTTGTCCTTAAGAAATTCGCTATACCATTGCTCACTGGTTGCCTGGAAACAGAAGCCATTTAACCAACAGATGAGATGTATCATAACATACATTTTGAAAGCTTTACAAATATTCCTACTGCGATGTGTTGGGAAATAAAACCAGTTTCATCTGCAAGATAATTAATACAATGTCTCTCTGAGAATATTGCTTGTTGTTGATGACAGCTGCAAACTGGGTTACCATAGTTATTAAGATGAAAAAAGTGTTTATGAACTGTAACTTTTAAAATTACTTTATTCCACAGAGTAACTATATGTGCAACAAGATAACTGCTATACATCAAGTAAATGGTTAACTTTTCAGACATTTGACATCCTGGTAATAGCTTGATTTTTGCAGGTAAATATCCCATCTATAGAGGGATGCATTTACCATTTTTAGACCACTAGGGGGTATCAATTCTCCACTGTATACTTCATGAAGATTGATTCTGCTCAGCTAGACTACAAGAAAATGAAAATATGCAAGTTAAGATGCACCAGATTCAGGCAAGGTACCGTGTACATTAACCACTTGCCCTCCAGAGGATTTACCTCCTTCCTGACCAGGCTATTTTTTGCATTATGGCGCTGCGTTACTTTAACTGGCAGTTGCACGGTCATGCAATGCTGCACCCAAATTAAATTTACGTCCTTTTTTTCCCACAAATTGAGATTTCTTTCAGTGGTAGTTGATTGCCTGTGCGTTTTTTATTTTTTGCGCCATAAGCAAAAAAAGACCATCAATTTTGAGAGAAAGAAAACAATATTTTTGACTTCTTGCTATTTAATTTTTGCTATTTTTAAAATTTTTAAAAAAAATCAAATTTCATCATAAAGTTACACCAAAACGTATTCTGCTACATGTCTTTTCTAAAACAAATCCCAATACGTGTAATTAATTGGTTTATATGAAAGTTATAGCCTTTACAAATGGTGGCATATATACTGGGATTTAAAAAAAAAAAAAATTTTCTTTTTACTAGTAATAGCGGCAAATCAGCGACTTATAGCGGGACTGCAGGACTGCGGCAGGTATTCTGACACTGGGGGGAACTGACTTGGTGTCACTGACATCCCCAGTGACACCAATACAATGATCAGTGCTAAAAAAAAGCACTGACACTGTACTAATGGCACTGGGCAGGAAGGGGTTAACATGAGGGGCGATCAAAGGGTTAACTGCGTGCTGTTTCTCTATGTGTTGTGTCTGTGTGCTTCATTGTAAGCACACTGCTTTGCATGGCTGTGCTGTGCACAGCCATCTAAAGCAGTGTGCACGAGCTGACAGGGAGGAGAACTGTTTTGTTTACAAACAGTTCTCCTCCCCATCGGAGATGCTCGGCAATCTCTGGGCGCTGGCAAGTAATCACATGATTTTACACACTCGTGCCGTCCTGTAGCAGTATTTCTGCTATAGGGATATCGGGAAGCAGGTAAAGTTAACAAAGTTAACTGCTCAACGTCTTTAGCAAGGAGTTCATTATAGTAAGTAAATACAGAGTCCCCCAATTGTTGATGCTTCAGCCAGAGGTTAACTAATACATAGCAAAGGGATTTAAATAAAGCGGTATTAAACCCAAAAATGTAATACATTGCAGCTCATCAATCATTAGATGTGCTCTTCGCGCTCCCCCACCCCAACTGGCAGAACACAATAGCACTACTGGAGACAATCCCCCATCAAACACTGTGTTTATGGGATATAAAGACATTTCTTTTCCTTCCACCCATGGTGAAAGGAAAGGAAATGTATTCATCTATGACTTTCTTTACACCCCGGTCACATCAAACCCTACTTTGAAATCATGCGGCTTACAGTGAACTTGCACAATTTCAAAGTTGGATGACATGCCGCACCAAATCACATCAAAAGTAGTGTATGTACTACTTTAGAAATCATTGCAGCTCTGACCAGTTCGGAACGCACCGATATGACCACTCTAATTGCGGACAATAGGCTGCGATTTGGCAGGCTATTTGCAAGATGTATGGCAAGCAAATCGCATGCCAATTTGCATCCAGTGTGACCGGGGCCTTAGAGTGTCCCCACACTGGAAGAAGGATCACAGGGGCACCTTTGAACAGCAGGTCTAGGGAGAAAGGGAGTGTTAGATGTACTAGCAGATTTAGATACGCTAACAAATTGAAGCCAAACTCCAGCTCACACTGCAGTTAACTGCATAATTTTTTTTTGCTTTTGGGATAAAGCTTTTCTATGAATAAATAAAAGCTGATCATTGTAAGCATCCCTGTCAGTGGTAAATGGTTTGACTCAACACTTCTAACAAATTTATTTGTGAGCGAGCTTGTTCTGATGAATAACAACAGATCTAATGGCTGGATCACCAGATGAAAAGAAAGAAAGTCTAACAAAAAGAAGTAAACTAATGCAGCTCTTGAATAAATGGTAAGCTGCAATATAATAAATGTTTTCTTTGGGGTTTAATACTGCTTTAAGTGCACAGATGACTTAAGTTTGCTAGGAGTAAGATTTAATAACTTTGTGAGTCATTACGGAGTACCAGAGTTCCAGAGTTAATTGGAAAATGTATGAGCAGGCATTGTCACAGATTATTGCACCTTTATCCCTGTGTGCAAGTGAGGGCCATTTTTCTTTTGTATAGTTAAACATGCTAACAAGAAGCTATAGTGGGAATCTGTCTAATGTCCACTTGCACATGCTTGCAGGGTGGTAGAGTTTGTTAAATCATATTACAGTAAGCCTGTATTCCATTTAACTAGCAGTAGATATCTAGATTCAAATGGACTTGTTCTGTAATGTTTAATAGCAACTGCACATACTGTATAAATAGCTTTCTCAGCTCTAATGAGCTGATGTTCCCAATCTGCAGTGGTCAGAATCTACAAAAAGTGGTCCAAGGAAGAAAAACTGGTGAATGGACGACAGGGTCATGTGTGGCCAAGGCTCATTGATGTATGTGAGGAGCGA